ATTTGATTCACAAGTACCTTTGATATGACTTTGTAAACCACTATGCATAAGCTTATAGGTCTAAAGTGCTTCATATATCTAGGATCTTCCACTTTAGGTATTAAGAACAGAAAAGTCATATTAACTTTAGCCATATCTTCATGACCATTCAACAGTTGTAAACATACATTAACTAGATCATCCCCGACAATATCCCAATGAGAACGATAGAAGCTTGTAGGAAGCCCAACATATCCTGGAGCCTTATTTAGACGAATGTCATGAAAGGTCACTAAAACTTTCTCTGCAAAAAAAGGTTTATATAATTACCTACTCTTGTCTGGCTTAACTACTTCCTCAATAGCCTCTAGTGTGATAATCCAAATTTTGGTTAGTGACAAAAATATAAGTTTTGAAAGTTTAGTGGCCAAAGTATAAAATAGGAATGTTTAGGGACCTAAGTGGTTATTTTCCCAAAAATATTTTTTATCACATAAATGGATAGCTTACTCTTGATAGTGGGGTTTTATTGAAATCAGATTCCTAATTCGAAATTTATGTTGAAAATTAGAAAAGGGTCAAAGTCCAATAAGAAATCGGTAAAACAGATCGAAGAGAAATTTTTTGAAAAAATGAAGATGATAAATTAGGCTTAAAAATATTATTTCCATATGTTAAAATGATGGAAAATAATATGGACTATTGTATTTGAGAATATTTCCATGTTTAATTTGGATCGTTGGATCAAAGTGGCAAGATTGCAATTTTTGGAAAATTGCTTGTTTAAATTGAAAAAGGGTAAAATATTTTGTTTATCTTTGACTTTGGAAATATGATAAGGTTATTTGGCTTGGTATTATTGTAAATATCAAGTTTCATTAATGGTAAAATAGACATTTCACATTAAATGAATTTTTAATTTATTTAAGCTTAATATAAGGTAAATTAACATGAAATTCATTAGAAATTTCATGAAACTTAGGCCATTTTCAGCCCCTTGGACTACTACCCCCTAGCAAGGTAAGAGAAATTTGTTTTTCTCATTTTTGAGCAATTTCCTTTGGATTTTGGATCATGTCGTGGAATAGAAATTTGTTCTATTTGAAAAACGCTATCATTTGGTACCTTTATTGCTTGCTAATTTGGTTTTTGTTCAAAGAAACCAAATTTTAGGGTTTATGTTCACATTAGGATTTATGGGATTGATGAAGGATTTTTATGTTTTTGAGGTCGTAGAATCAATTCCAAGCATAATTTATGATTAAAATCAACTATACATGCTATGGCTAATTTCGCCCTAACCCTAATCTTGGAGGAAGTTTATGTTATGATGAAATTTGATTAGGTATTTGATTGTACAGATTGTATAATGTTAAACCGAGGTTGATTTCATGCTTGAATCGAATCAAAATCGAGTAAAATCATGAAAATCTTAGTCTTGGGTACATAAACCATTCGACCTTGAGGAAGATGATGGGGAAAATTTTTGAAAAATTTCATGTGTCTTAGAAATAATATTAGAAAGGTTCCACAAGCCTTAGAGAATTTTTTGGGCCAATCTGTAATTTTGTGAAAGTTGGGAGACCACATCAGTAATTATGAAAAAGTTATGGTTTGTTGTATAATTATTCAATAATTGTTATACTATGTTGGAAATTACTATATGGGGGCTGAAATTGAAGTTAGAATGTGAAATTGAGTCATTTTGGAAAGTTGACAAAGTTTGAGTGCTAAATGGTAAACATTGAGAAAGTTAGTCGATTAAATGGTAAATATGGCATTGTTGCGGTATTTGGGCCGAAAGTTTAATGGTGGAAATTATTGGACTTATTTGGGCCTTGAATTTAAGAATTAATGAAAAGAGCCCAAGATGAATGAAAAGGAAAAGTTAAGATGAATTTTAGAAGAATTTGAAAATAATAGTACTTTTGGAGTATTATTATTAAGTATGAAATGTTAGTAAGAACGCTAACATGTATTTTATATTTGTATATGCTTTGTATGGATGCTCGTGTAGATCGTGATCGAACTCGTGATACGCAAAGTGAAAGACAAGGAAAAAATTCAAGAATAATCGGATTTCGATAGTAAGGCTTAATAGTAAGGCATACAAGGTGAGTGCATTTATTATGTACTTATATGATATGAGGACGACTTGCGATGGGTCAACCTTGAATGTTTTTATAAAAGCATGTTTTACTGTATTTTGAAATATTTTCATAAGGTTTATGAAAATGGTTTATGGTGATTTTAGGGTATGAACTGCCCTACAATATATTGATGAACTTTTATTTTATTTTAACAACTATCGATGTTTCAGAATAAATGTTTAATCTGCGAATTTGATTTAAAGGTCTATTGTATGTGCATTGAAAGTCATAAGTTCATTTTGACATACTTGGAATATGATGATTATCAATCGATTTGTTTAATGCATTTGTTGCATTTTCGTATCAGTACCTTTGTGTACTGTCTTCACTATGTGTACATGCATGGTATTCATAATGAGTTTGTGAATTACCATTTCGATATATTAGTATGGTGTCGTTGTTACTACAATACCTATACTTTCGTTTGGCACTTATGTGCAACTCATGTACCTTGCATTCTCATTTGACATGCATTGGGCTATGAATGAGTACTTTTGAATATATTGATTGATAGGTGTGTTGGGTATACTAAATAATATTTCGCATGTTATTTGACGGAAACTTGGCTTATAAAGTCAGTTTTTATGCGTTTATGTATTTTATACAATAAATCATATTTTGATATTATAATGGCTTACTCATGTTTTTAAAATGCCTTATTTGTTTTATTATGCCTCACTAAGTGAATACTTAGCGTGTAATAAGTTTCACGCGTAGGTTTAGTGTACGAATCGGAGTGCAGGTGATACCATCAGTCAAGGGTGTCTCATTAGTAACAGTATGACATATCTAGATGTTTATTTTGATATTACTAGTTGACATGTACTTAGATATGTTGTGATGCTCTGATAAAATACTTAGTATTTGGTTGTAGTATTATATTACGTTTGAACTTAAACTACTGCTTGATGGATTTTAAATGTTATTTTATATATATGTATTTGAAGAACGTTTTATAAACTACATTATTAAATCGTTTATTTAAAGAAACAAAATTTTAATGGTTTTCAAGTATGAAAATGTTTTAAAAGTCATGTGACATCTATAACTCGTGTACGATATAATTTGTATATAAGAAATGTGGTTTTATAAACTACTTCTTGGTATCAAATTTAGTTGGGAAGCACCCCTACAACTTCAAATTTTGTATATAAGAAATGTGGTTTTCATCTGTCGTGCTCAAGTTTTTGTGCGTCTCTAGATTCATGTGATGGAAAAAAAGATTAAATAATCTCTAGCTTAAGTGTCTTACTGTACCTAAGTTTGATTGTATTATGCTGTCACTAGGGCAGTAGTGCTGATAATTCACTGATATAATTTGTATGGCTCAGTTGGACTTACTTAACGAAATAGTAAGTTAAATCAAGAGATCAACAATATAAGAAAAAAGTTTTGAGAGCAATTAGGGTTTTGTGGAAACCAGGACATTTGTACAACATCTCACCACACTACAGAATGATATCGTTGAATATATGTGTGTGTTTGCATGCTAAAAACTATTTAAAATAGGATTACACACCATTATAGAGGACTCTGTTGGAGAGACTAGCTCTTAGTCTGTTAAAACTTACTACTAAGGAGATGTTTGCTAGACTCCACCATTAACTATTTTTATTGATGAAGCAATATAAGAGAGAATTCTTCATCCTTGCGTCTTATTAAGTGTGAGGAATCCAACATAGCTACTTTTTGGATTGTGAAAATTTGATAGTTTCTCTTTTGGCAATGTTTCTTCATCGGAAAAATGAATGAAATTGTTCTATTCTTCAATCTCTCTTCTCTTCATCTCTATTTCTATTTCTTCGATTCCCGTTCTTCTCCGATTCTCTTAGGCCTTAACAGTTACACGGCTAGATGAAGGTATTTTCCAGACCATGTTTTCTTATGTATCCCAAATGTGAGCGAAGTAGTTGGTATTAAAGCATCTTTGTGTTCTTAGAAGGAATAATAACCTGAGCGATGTTTATTGTGAGGGGTATATGAGCATGCTAGTAGTACTTGAATCTATGTTCAAGCAGCGCTTATTGCTGAGCTTGGATGCAAACAAGAGATCAACAACAATATACCTTTTTTTATTACCCTTGGTATCTGGTCCATTGGCCGACGGTATGGTTGATGCAACCCTCTCAACCCAGTTTGTTCCATTCACGATGTCAAGATTCAAACTTTGGACCTTGCTTAAGGGACTTACCGCCTCAACCCGCTAGACCAATTGGTAGTTAGTAACAAGAATATTCCTTTGACCTTTGTGATACAACAATACACCTTTTACAAAATTAGAAACACAAGAAACATTCATTAGGGTATTATGAGCAGAATATTGTAAGAATAATCGGAAAGGTAATGAAAGGCATTGTAATACTTACTGAGTTTGTAAGAATTCTTCCTCTCCTTACTTGGTGACTCCCCTGGAAGGTATTACCTTATGTTATATAGGATGGAAGTGTACTAAGTGATGGTTGATATTGTTACTCTCTTTATTCTTCATTTACAAGTATATTCATCTTTTTACTATACTTTTAGTTGTTCCTTGGTTGGTTTTGTTTATCTGCATTTAATACTTTTTTTTTGTCTTTGGGTATAGCTATTACGTTAAACTACCAGCTAAATCTGATGACGGCTACTTAGAGTTAGAAGTAGAACCCTCCCCAATCCAGAGCCATGGTTCCCTTACCAAATCGACTTGTTAAACTACCAGCTAAATCTGATGACGGCTACTTAGAGTCAGAAGTATAAAAATTATTATTTATTTATTTCCCGAAACAAACCAGCGTCATTGCATATCACCGTAAAAGATAAGGATTATACAATCACTGAATGCTCTTCTAAGCCCTTTCATTTATATGTTTTGTTTAATCCTTATCTTTTACTAAAGCTTTGAATGAGCTTTTAGAGTCTGATGACAAGTTTGGGTTTATAGTCATGGATGGTAATGGCACATTATTCGGTACGCTAAGCGGGAACACGAGAGAGGTACTTCATAAATTCACCGTTGATCTACCGAAGAAGCATGGAAGAGGAGGACAGTCCGATCTGCGTTTTGCTCGTTTGAGAATGGAGAAGCGGCACAACCATGTGAGGAAAACTGCAGAACTGGCCACCCAGTTCTTTATTAAATCTGCAACCAGTCAGCCTAATGTTTCTGGGCTGCTACTGGCTGGTTCAGCTGACTTTAAGACTGAATTGAGCCAGTCCGACATGTTTGATCCTCGTTTACAAGCCAAGATTTTGAATGTTGTTGATGTGTCGTATGGCGGTGAAAACGGTTTTAATCATGCTATTGAGCTCTCTGCTGAAATCCTGTCGAATGTAAAGTTCATACAAGAAAAACGTTTAATCGGAAAATATTTTGAGGAGATAAGCCAGGATACTGGAAAGTATGTGTTCGGAGTAGATGATACATTGAAGGCTCTGGAAATGAGTGCTGTAGAAATCCTCATTGTTTGGGAAAACCTGGAGATTAATGGGCAGGGCCGTGGCCGGGGCGGCGCAAACTGCGCGACCGCGCAGGCCCCCAAAAAAGGCCCCAAAAAAATATATATATAATGACGTTTTTTCAATAAACGACACTATAGATAGACTTATTGCGACGTGTTTTTTAAAAAACGACGGCCCTGTTAATGGGTACATGCTAAAACATAGTATAACGGGTGAAATTATCATAAAACGCCTGAATAAGGAGCAGGAGGCTGATCAGAGCAACTTCCGTGATCCTGAAACCTCTGCGGAGTTGGAAGTTCAGGAAAAAATGCCGTTACTCGAATGGTTTGCCAATGAGTATAAGCGTTTCGGCTGCTCTCTCGAATTTGTCACGAACAAATCCCAAGAAGGATCACAGTTTTGCAGAGGGTTCGGTGGGATCGGAGGCATCCTACGTTATCAGCTTGACATGAGAACGTACGATGAGCTCTCCGATGGAGAAGTTTACGAGGATTCCGATTGATAAAGCACTGCTCAAAGCTGTCATGAGGCTCGAGAGCCTATACAACCCACAGATGTAATGCTTCTTCTTTTACCATTTTATCACTTTTTGATTCTAAAAATAAAATATAGACCAAGTTGGTTTGGGTTTTTTCGATTTGTAATCAGAACTTGTTACATGCAACTGTTTAATCCCCAAATTATTTTCAATAAAGCATTGCCTTTTAAAATATATGAAAAAGAATATATATAGTTTCAAATAATCATAATGTTTGAAAGAATAAATTAATATGAGGAAACAGGGGAAAAAGAAAAGAGAATTAAGGGGTATGTGATTCCTTGTTTAGTAGTAGTTTCCCTGAGTCACTCCTCTTGAAAAGTTTCTCTACCAAGTCATCCCAATTTGTCCGTTTAGCACCTCCATTGTCGGTTCCAGCAGCCACTGTTTCTGTTTCCTCAATCTCGATCGGTTCACCATCTGCGGGCACGGCATGAGGGATATTCAAACTGACGGCTTTTTGCAATGCATCTTTTTGTTCTTTCTCAATGGTCTGCAACCTCTCCAGTTTCTGTATTTTCGGGGGAACGGTTATAGTCTCGGATTTGTTCTCCCTCATAATCTGTAGGAATCAACAATTAAGCTATATTGATGACAATCCAAGGTACACCAATGGAGCTTCAATACTAAACTAAAACGAAGGGCACTCACCCCCAAAGCCTTCTCCGATTCCCTTTCGATCCAAATTATTCCATGATCAGATGTCGCGTTACAAGATAACACGATATGTTCAAACCGCCCGTCGACAGGAATGGCTGTTCGGACCTCTGGAGGAAACCTCCCACATCTAAGGACTCAAATCACATAGCAACTTAAAATCAAATAAACAGACAAACCAACCTGACCATAATCTAATAAGATAGAATTGTAAACAAAATGCATTGGTTGATGTAAAGATGAAGAAGCAAGAGTCAGAAAATGTTGGTACCTGCAAAATTTTCGCTTGACGATATGATACATTCGTCCGGGAGCATAAAGTCGTCTCGGATCTTTAAGTTTCCTACCTTCCGGTATAAAGGTATCCCTCAAGCAAACAAGAAATATCAAGCATGGCAAGCTGTCCAAAAGCATCAAATAATAGATGAAACAATAAGGCTCTATGAGAATGGTTAATAAGAATATGCAAAATCAAACGAGAGAAAAAGTACCAGAATATAGACTTGAAGATATCTTCCAAGGGTGTGGCTGTCCTAGGCAAGAAATCATCCTGAAACAATTATAATATCATGCAAAGGGGCTGTTAACTATCAAAATTCACTTACTGAAGGTGATCAGGCAACATTACTAATTAGGAACAAGTACTTGATCAAATCGAGTTAAAAAAAGTCAAGTTAGTCGAGTTTAATAGTCTGAATTTATAATTCCAATTTTATTTGAATTTTTTCAAAGTCGAGTTTATGAAATTCGAGTTCTTCGAAATTTTTTTTAAATTTAATTATAAATATTTATAATATTATGATATTAATATATGTTATTTTCCCTCATCCATTGATTTTAAATCTGTGTAAAATTAAAAGAGTATTATATAACCTAATTAAATCATATATACATATATATTTCTTTTTCATATAAATATATATATTTCTTTATATTGTTTTCAAATGCAATATATATATATTATAGGGAGTTAAAAGATGACTAAAATTTTTATTCATTAATTATTAAAAGTTTTGAGTTAATTTGAATTATAATTCAAACTTTATTTTTTTTAAAAACTAAGTGAAATCAATTCGAGTTAAACTTTGTAATCTTAAATCTAATTAAAAAATTAATTTTCCGAGTCAAATTTTATTCTCACATAATAATCCGATAAACATTTAAATGCAGGCCAAAACCATTGAGGAAAAAAAAGAGATGATCTACCTGCAAGACAATGGAGTGAATAACATCAGCATACTTGACGGCTAAGTTGAGTGACATACACCTGGCTGGCGCCAACGCATAGCACCGAATCTTATTCCGGGGAATTCCACCCAATTTATCCCTGTGATTAACCAGCACCACCGCCATCAACGCCGCCACGCCCGACCCCAACGAATGTCCGCCAATAATCAATTCATATTCCCTCCCAGTCTCTTCCCAAACACTCTTCAACGTCTCACTCTCCTCGTTCAACAACCACACCGCCGATTTCAACAGCCCGTGATGAACATATCCCCCGTCAAACATCTGCATCCCCAGCCTGTTATCCAACAGCACTTTATAGTCACTGTCTTTGACCAAGTTGAGTCCCCTGATCGCCATCACGATCTCCTTCCGTTCATGGTCGGCGAATATAAGGTACGGCGGAGAACGACCCTGGGTTTGCTCGTAGTCGGCGTGTTTCAAGACCCAGTCCGGGTTGACTCGGTAGCCGCCGTCGGGAGGGGATTGGGGGTTTCTGAGATCACTTTCGTAGACGGCTAGGATTAAACGACAGAGTCTGGGGACGGGCTCGAACTCGTCGGGGGTAGCTGACGGCCAGGTTTCGCTGTCGTCTGAACCGACGTGGGTGCAGCGCTTCCATGCCCAACGCGAACAGCCAAGACAGAGGACGCATTCGACGCCGCAAACAACAGACATGTATGGTCGGATCGGATGAGAGAATTGGGCAACAAATTGGATCGATGATTCGTAATGAAACGAGAACAGAGTTGGGAAGTTAGAGAGAGAAAAAGGGGAAAAGAAAGCACATGGAAACTGGAAAGAAGATTTGGTCAGAGACCAAATTTCATAGAAAATGTGAATTTATACGGGAAATGAATCCCGGTTTTCAATATCTACATAAACGTTTCAAACTTTTAACCTGTAATGTTCCTTTTTAGTCGCTTTTCTTCAGCTGCTCTTTGAGTTTCAGCTACTCGGATTTCCCCCCACGTAATATATATATATATGTACGCACAAACATATTGATATTAAACGTCTTTTTTTTTCAAATTTAACTATTCTAAGCTTACAATAAAAAAATAAAAGCTATTCTAAATTTATATTGTTTGTTAAAAATTGGTAAATTACAAGGCTATTGAACTATGCCCAAGGGATTGTTTTGATTATTGAATTTTCAAACTTTACATAACAATTACTAAATTTAGGGTAAAGTAGATATCGCTTTATTGAGTTCTTTGGTTATTAAAATATATAAAATAGTTTTTGTTAATTCGTTTTATTATTAAAAGTTACGAAATAGTCACTCGATTATTTATTATGATTTAAACTCGTTCTTTTTCATCAAAAAATTAATGATTGTCTGAGTTAGCGTATAACTCAGACTACCATTAAAGTTTTAATAAAAAAATGAAAAGGTTTAATAAAAAAATGAAGAGTTTGAAACATAATGAATAGTTGAGTGGTAATTTTGTAACTTTTAATATTCAAATGACTCAACAAAGCAACTCCCTGTATTTTAAGGGCAAATTTGTAATTTTCAATAGTCAAAGAACTCAAAAAATAATATTCTATAGTCGGAATACCATTTGTGTAATTTATCCTTAAATTTATCACAATATTTTTTTAAATAAACTTTAAAATTTATTGAAATTAATTAAAATTATATAATTATTATAATAATGATCATTTTGTAATAATTCAATAAAATTTTATAATAATTTTATAATTTTAAAATTCAAGCGAACTATAATTAATATTTAAATATTTAAATTGTATTAAATTTAAATAAAAAAAATTTAGTATTTATAAATAGTGATGAAATATATCTTTGAACTATTAGAGTCAAAATATTGTTGTAGGTAGGGCTGTAAATGAAATGAGATAGATCGCGAGCTACTCGAGATCGACTCGGTCAATGCTTGTTAAATATTCGGATCGAATGAACTCGACTAGAGCTCAAGCTCGACTCGAATTCTTAACGAGCCGAAACGAGCTACTTAAGACTCGACCTGAAAAACTCGTGAGCAACTCAAAAATATAATATATTAAGATTTTATTTTTTAAAAAATAAATTTATTAATAATATTAACATTTACGTGTTAATTTTTTTTTTTAAATACAATAAGATTTTTATGTATTTAAGGTTCATGTTCGAGTTTGAGGCTTCAATCTAGTTAAATTTAAAAAAATCATTTCGAGCATTTTCGAGTTGGTCATGAGCTTCGGTTCGGGATTTCGAGTTCGAGTTGAGCTTAAAAATTTTAAGCTCTGGAGTTTTTCAATCGAGTTTCATTTCAGAGTTTTTAAGTCGAGTCACTCAACAATTCTCGAACTCGACTCATTTACACCCCTGGTTGCAGGTTCCATATTCTTTTTCTACCTTTGATATATTGTTTTGAAACATACTCTTCAAAGTTACATTAAAAATGAAAATTATTTTTCTCGAATCCATTTAAAAATTATATAACAAAAAAATTCTGACCAGGCCAGAACCGCCAGGTATCATATTCAAACGAGAGGACAGTGGGGAAAGTAGATAGATAGGTTGTAGCCATCATTGTTCGGTAAACAACCCTTGTATCATACTCAATTGCATGTTGGTCCATTGTAGGGGGAAAAAAGACTGGATCTGAAATTAAAAAAAAAACCCATCTTACAATGCATGTATAGTTTCTCAACCAGTTCGTCCATGATCATCTTATACCATCTATTATACTTTGGACAAGAATTAATATCATCCATTAATCAAATAAAAACTACACTAATATATTTAGATTTTTATACTTTCATACAACTTTCCAAAATAATAAATAATTAAAAGAAAAATGCCTGCAAGGTAGATATGTACACTAGACGATGTTAGTGTACTTTGGGATGGACAAATGAATCTTACAATATAATTTTTTTCAACTATTTTTTTATAGTATTGGACTGGCATTCAATTGTTCTATTACGCTTACCCCTTAATAATTTTTCAATCGTGCAAATCTGGGAGTGATTTGTTTCATACAAACATCAAGTTTGAACATGTGATTGGGATCAGACTGACGTGCAAAATATAATTCGTCAAATCTTTGCTCAGATACTATCCAGCAATTAAGCTGTCATCATTTCCCAATTCTATTTCTGTTTTAATTTCTCAATCTTCATAAACCTTAAAAGATTAAGATATTCATGTAAACAAAATCAACCTTAATTGAGCCTGATTGAAATAAACAAGAAAAACAAATAAC